AACTAGGGTATACAATATATACAGGTAGGATATACTCTACACACACTTTTATAGTTCAACTAGGGTATACAATATATACAGGTAGGATATACTCTACACACACTTTTATAGTTCAACTAGAGTATACAATATATACAGGTAGGATATACTCTACACACACTTTTATAGTTCAACTAGGGTATACAATATACAATATACAATATACAATATAAAAATACTCTCTACACACACTTCTAGTTTACAAAGGTATATACTGTACCCATAAAACTGCTAAATATGAAGACGATATTTTAGCAGTTTTAGGTTAATTTGATGTTGTTATTAAGCAATCAGTTTTGTCCATAGCTTGAACATCAACATAATAAGTGAAATGGGTCTGTGTGCACTGCACAATTGCTGTGCTTCATGTTTATTAAACTATTGAAAAGCATAACTTAAGTCTAATAGTCGTCTTCCTATTCCACAGTTTTATGAGTCCCACTGTATCGAATATACATTTTTGAATAATAATTTTAGTTAAACAGGTAAAACTGGGAAATTAGAGTAGAGGGCGAAACAGCGCTTATCTATAATCTATAATACTTGATCTCGATATCGACTGTGGTATCTTTTAAATTTGAGTTTGGTTGATCCCTTAGGAGTTTCAAAGTTTGACCACGGAAAATCCAAAGGTAAAAATAAATAAACAGAATATAATAACAAAAAAAAAGAATAACATAAACATAATAATAAATGTTTTAAGGCTTAATTAACAGGATCAGAAGAGAAAACAGCTGTAAAATTAAATTTAAAAAATCCCTCACTTTTTGTGTGTTTCTGAATATGCATTTTTAACCAAAAACAATCATAATAAAATAGTAATGGGATTAACTACATATAGATATGTGTTAATAGTTAAATATTTAAAATATATTTGAAATATTAACAATATTTAAAATATATTTGAAATATTAACAATATTTAAAATACTCACAAGAGGGAGTTGATGATCTCTTCCTAACTTTTCTAGAATTTCTTTAGATGCTGACATACGAACTCCACCTCTCCCACCTCGAGCCTTAAACATATCTGAAGAATGTTCGAAAAATAAAGCCTAACTTCAATCCTGATGTTATGGTCCCTAGAATCTATATATTTAAAGTGGTATTCTCTGTTTGTCTCAAATTTTGATTGGGGAGCTTGGTAGAGCCACGGGAATTTTCTTTGCTTAGTTTTGAGATTCAAAGTTGAGTGGGTTCACTTTTATCGGGAAATATCGTAATTTACGACCAAATGCGGATAAACGGCGTGGGTAACTTTGAGTAACCTGAACAACGCTGGGTTCCCGAGCTAGTTCCTAATAAGGTAAAGGTTCAACAATCCGCTATTTAAAAAGGATATTGTTCAAACGAGTTTAGGACATATACAAGCAAGAAATTTCTTGTTTATCTTTATCATTAAATCTTGCAATCTGCTATTACCTGTCTTAAATTAAGTTTAGGATCTCCATTGACTGGTAACTTCAGCTCATGGTAAAGAAGACGACATATATCTTGGGGAGAAGAGAAAGCAAAATGGCGGCCGGCCAATCTGAAAAAAATCATGTTTAAACAATTTAAAAAGTTTCAAAACCGTTTGAACAAACTTCAGCACCAAATATCGCGATACAATAAATTAAGGTTATTTAGGTTTGTTCAGATTATTTATCTCTCAACTTCAGAAGGGCTAAAACACATTTTTTCCCCTGAAAAATCAAGATGATCAGCTTTACCTGTAAGCTTCTTCTTCTATAATCTTGACTCTTTGCTCCAGTAGTAACCTAGTATCCCTGAACTCCTGCTCATGTACCCCCATCCCTGTCAGCTCCAGGCCTAGGAGTATACTCTCAACCTTCATCTCAACCTACACTCAATAATAATAATAACAACATTTGATAAACCTGGATCTAGATCTGAAACCTGAATCTAGATCTGAAACCTGAATCTAGATCTGAAACCTGAATCTAGATCTGAAAACCTGAATCTAAATCTGAAACCTGAATCTAGATCTGAAACCTGAATCTAGATCTGAAACCTGGATCTAGATCTGAAACCTGAATCTAGATATGAAACCTGAATCTAGATCTGAAACCTGAATCTAGATCTGAAACCTGAATCTAGATCTGAAACCTGGATCTAGAAACCTGAATCTAGATCTGAAACCTGAATCTAGATCTGAAACCTGAATCTAGATCTGAAACCTGAATCTAGATCTGAAACCTGAATCTAGATCCAAATCCTGAATCTTAGAACTCAGGCCGCGATTTGAAACTTAGCCTAAATCCCTTAGTCTCCACTTTAACAAAAAGTTAAACCCGAAAAATCAGTCCTAACGTTTCTTAAGACTTGGAATCTTTGGATCTTTATTTTTCGTAAATTATATTTTTATCGCGGACTCTTACTTCTAGGTTTTGATAAAATTAATAATTTAAAATATTCTTTATCTAAACCCTAGACAGAAAGACGGACAGATAGATAGATTGATAGAAAAAAAGACAGATAGACAGACAAATAGATAGATAAATAGTTAGAAAGACAAACAAGATAGATATCCCTAGTATTTTACCAGCAAATATTGTTGTTCTAGTTTCTGCTCTATTAAACCCGTTAACAGTTTGTCCTGCAGATGAAGGACTAGGACGGATTCAACAACAGCTCGGATACGTTCTGGTTGAGGACTAGTGGGAGAACAGGACACACTTCCTACTCCTGGAGCAGATCCTAAAAGGGAAAAACGACTGTTATTAACAATTATTTTATTTTTACTTAATTCTAGAAAATTCCTGGAGAGTAAAAACTATAAATGTCGTCTTTTAGTCTATCTTAAAAGTTGTTAAGATAATGTTCAGGTTGATTATTACCCATTAAAAAATGTAACTACTTGAACACAGTCTTGATTTAATAACATGACCTTTTTATATAAGCTTTGAAAATAGTAAAATTCGTATGTACACTGTGTCTAACTAAACATAATAATACTTTGTTTTTGGGAATTAAAATGTTTTCATGCGGTGGAAACATACAAGATTTTGTGTTTGTAATATTCATAATATGTCTTTAAAGGGACTGTAGGCATAATTTAGAGTGAACCTTAATTTCAAGAATGGCGTTTCCATTTCATCTACAGAACCTCTTGTCAGTTTTTTATATATTTTTGAGAAATATTGATATTTACTTTCTAGAAATTGCAGAAAATAAAAATCTACATTAGAATATTTGGCTATCTCTAGGAAAATATAAGTAAAGTCAGCTGCCTTGAGTTCATATCTGTAGCTAGCGTGCACTCCAGGTTTACGGCATTTTGAACACCATTTCACACAAGGTTATAATGCAAGGAAAGTTAATTGCGGTCGTGTATACTCTGCGTCCTTATTGAAACCAGTTCTCTTTGGGCGGAATTTGTAAACAAGAAAAGATGCATCAGTGTTTGTTTAGTATCCGAGGAGGTTAAAAGGATTTAATTTTGATAATTCAAATAATAGTTTCTTATGACCAGAATATTTCATTGATTTTTTTTATGTAAAAGATGGATTCCATGACAGGTTGTGATATCCGTCTTGTGTTTCCATTACCGCCCAGAGACAGTACACTGCAGTACAAAAGATGCGTACACCTCTGAAATAACTTTCCTTGCATTGTAACCTTGTATACACACATGTTCCCTTGATGACCAGTCTCAGGTTTAAACGGTACTGTTGTTAATTGTACATTCCTTTGAGCATGACAGGTCACTTGAAATTACGCTTACAGTCCTTTAAAACAGTTCTTTTAGTGTCCTTCAGTTATTTACCAGAAAACTCTGGAATAGGAAGACGATTTTGAGAATCAAATTATAACTTTAAAAGGTCCGATGAGCATGAGACACAGCAATTGTGCAGTGTAAACAGACCCATCTAACTATAATAGTGATTCAAAAAGTGTCTAGAATAATTATTTGCTTTGTAACATTTAAGTATTACTATAATGTCGTCTTTCTATTGCATTGTATTCTGGTTAACACTGTATTTAGTGGAACAGCCTGCAAACCTATTAGCTGTAGAAGGTGAATAAGATGTGGAATATGATCTAGAACAAGACGATGCAGAGTACCAGGAGTTGATCCTAGCATGCACAGTTCTCAGAATTCAGAAAGAAGTCCACGACAAAATGGAAACAAATTATCGACATTAAAATCGATTAAGATTAATTTTGAACATTCACAATTCTCAGGACTCAGATAGAGAGTCCCAGAAAACATGAGAATTAAATTAACATATTTAGATATTATACCAATAGTTTTGAAGCCCTAATATTCACAATTCTTAGGATTCAGACAAAGAGTTTCAAAAACATAGGAAGTAATTAACGACATTAAAGTCAATTTAGATCATAAACTACAGTTTTGAAGAGTTCTCAGAAAACATGGGAACGATATTAAACTTGTTTTAGGTCAAAAAATCAGTTTTTGAGCACTAAAATTCACAATTCTCACGAATATTGAATTCACTGTAATCTTAAATTCACAAAATTTCACTTTCTTCTTCTCAGGTCTAATATGAAATACTAAAAGCTGGACAATTCATTCTCATTAAATGTTCTATGAGCCAAGCAAATGTATGTCACAAAGCCTCAAAAGGGAGTGTTTCTCAACTTAAAAAAGAAAGTTTAACGCGATAGAATTTTTTATGATACTGTTATTGATGGTTTGCGTTTGTTTATAAAATTCTGTATTGCGTAACAGATTGAAGCGAGATTTCGCGAAAAAAGCGAAAATTTTCGCATTTTTCGCGCGCGAATGAAATGCGAAAATAAAACGAAGTGGTCGCGAAAGAAATTTCCTTTTAGCTGGAAACCCTACTTACACATATAAATAGTCGAAGAGATAGGATGTAATTGTCGTTAAGAGATTCATGAAAAGAAAAAAAAACGAAAAATTTAAATAAAATTAATATTTTATAGAACTGCCTGGATCCATCAGCCAGGCTGCAGCTCCTGGATCTTCTGCCACTGCCTGTTGCATATCAATCAATCAATCAAATAAAATATGGTGGAAACTTAAGAAGACGACTTTTATACTCAATTTATGACTCTAAATATTCCAATATGCATGGACACAGCATTTGTGCAGTGTAAGCAGACCCATATCACTAAATATATGATTTAAAGTGTGAGTATAACTATTTGTAACATCAAATACACTCAAGTAATGTCGTCTTCCAATTCCATATAATTATAATTAAATAATATTAATACATTTTTTGGCTGAAATGTACAGTTTCTTTTTTCTAGTTATAGATGTACAATTGTACATATATACTGCTGGATTAGAATAAGGTCTGGGCATCTTGTCGTTAACGGTGAAATTTGTTAATTTTTATGCCTAACCCAACCTGAATTCAGATACTAACAATCTTTTATTAGATGTTAATACCATCTCATGGTCTTGAATTAAAAAACATATTTTAGTGACTGTGAGGTTATTTTAGGCTTAAGTTGCCCATTGCCCAGGAAATTGGAATATGATTGAATAGATTGAAATTCCTGTATATTAACTCCAGTTATACTGAAGAGTAATGAGAACTGGTGTCTCCAGGATAAAGCTCTACATCTCTTCTTACAGGCTACCAACCACCTAGTTGTTGTTATTATTACTATTATTATTAGTAAACATATTCCAATTTAATGTTTCACACCAAACTCAAACTCAAAGTCAAAGGAAAATTACTGCAAGTTGTTATAAAAACTAAACCTTAGAAACTGTAGTTTTTCCTCCAGAGATATGTCATTGTCCAGAGATGGGGCTGACAGGGATTCATCAAGTTGGCAGGAATCCTGAAAAAGGCAGTTAATGATTTTAAAATGGTATAGATTAAGAAGAAAATTCGGATCCGCATCAAATGAAATCCTAAACGGATTTCGGTTCAGAAAAAGCAGAAGAATTTAAATTTTTAAAATTTTTTTTTATCGAAATTCGTTTGACTTTAGATAACTGAAAAGGGAAACTCATTAGTCAAGAAGATTTGCGATTTTTTGAGTCAACATATTTTTAACTTATTTTTTCTTCCATGTATTGGTTGGATCTGGATCCTGAGATCCGCATCTTTTTTTGTAAAATATTGAGGATTCAGTGAATCCAGAAACTTGGCACTAAGACAGAGGAAACAGAAAAATGGAAGTAAAAATACAAGTCAACATCTACCTGCTCTGGAAGAAGAGCAAGATAGAAAGCTTCAAGACGACTAAAAGTAAATGCAACTCCCACAACTACTCCGCTCTCAACCTGACACTTTTCCAATCCACTTCTTCGCCTCTTCATCTTCTGATTCTTCTCTCCGTTTTCACGCTCCACTGCAACAGCAACAGAGAACATTTCAACAGCCTTAATCTCTTCAACAAAACTTTCAAAAATCCTACGATCTGAACAAACATCAATGATTTTAAGGAGTTCTTGAGATTTGTCCGGCAGAAGATCGGATTTTTTGGGAGATTTTTTAGTTTTCTCTTCAATTTTCCCGCCAAAATTTTGATCTTTTGTCATTTCTGTCTGTGGATGTGAAACCGGTTCATGGAAGGAGAAATCGTCTTCGTGTTCACTCCCGGACATGATCAGGTTCCCTGGACTAAACGCCTTTTGTCTCTTGGCTTTTCTTCTTCGATCTTTTAAGGATAACTTTTCTGGGTGTGGGTTCAATCTTGTTGTAGAGTTTAGCTCTGATACTTTCAATTCATCTGAAATTCATTTTACTTCAAAATATGGATTTAATTGTAATTGTATCAATTGAAATAAATTTAAATTTAAAGGGACTGAAAGTGTAACTTCAAGTGACCTAAAACTTTGGACGATACCTTGTATACCTGAATAGAAAAGTGTTAATTCTGATAATTTCTCCAATCTCAATGGCTTCTTGTAAGCAAGAAACGCGCAAGTTAATTTTGAAGAGAAACCGCAAATGAAAATGAGTAGTTTAAAGAAACAAAAACATGGATATCTAATGAAAACTTGATCAAACAAAACTTTTAAGGGTACCGTTGTAATGTAAATCAGGTGTTGCGTGTAGAGTCACTTGAAATTACGTTTACAGTCCCTTAACTCGAGAAGAAAAATCACAAAAATATTTTAAATTGCTAAACCTGATTTTTGGTCCTTACCTAAAAATGGTTGTGTTCTGGCTTTCTTTGTTGGATTATCGTTCTTGTCATGTTCATCTTTATTCAAATCTATGATCTGTTTCGGATGTTTAGTTTCAACAAGGGGTTTATTTGTCTCCTCCACACGTTGTACAGGAGCAGGATGGGTCTGCAAGATGGACAATGTTCCTGGAGAAACATCAAAGGTTTCCCAGTTCTCCAAACTCATTTTCTCAATTTTAGATTCATACTTATTAACACTGGTCACAATATTATTTTTATCAGCGTTAAAATCTATAGAACTATCAAACATGTCGTCTTCCCAAGAAGACATTGAATTTGAACTTAGATTGAAATCTGCTCCAAGAGCTTCAGGTTGGCGTCCTAGGCTTCCAACCTTTGGTTCATCACAATCACTCTCTGATAGCTCTAGAGTTAGTTCTTCCAAGTAAACAATTGGTGAATTTTCAGGTTTTTGCTCCGGGTCAGGTATACACCTTAGAGCCGGACTCCCGGAGTAAGCTTCGTCCTGCTTTACATTTGTCGTCTCCATTTCGTCCTCAAATATATTATCTAGAATACTGCTCATATCAAACTGTCCACAGGACTGTGGGGACGGTTTTGGAATCCTGCTAGCCTGAAATTAGGGTTTTATTTTTCCCGGACTAATTTAGTTTCGTAAAAGCTTTACGAAACCATTCCTGAGGAGTGAGGAGTTAAGAATGATAAACCATTTAACACTTTTGGAAATTTAAAGGGAGTGACCGGCTATGTAAGTTAGTTGAACTGAGTATGTAGTGTTGTGGAAAACTTCTTTCGAATTCATTTTAGGCATATTAAACTTTTTAAAGATCTGTAAATCCTGAGTTTGAGCGCGAATAATTTAAAAAAAACTAATTCTGAAAACGTATCCACCCCCAAAGTAGGAGTATTGAACGTCGAATTTGCGCTCAAACTCAGGATTCACAGATCTTTAAAAAGTTTAATATGTCTCCAATGAATCCAAAAGAAGTTTTCCACAACACTGCAAACTCAGTTCACCTACCTTACATAGCCGGTCACTCCCTTTAAGGCGGAACCTTTCATAATTGATTTTCGAATAAATCTACTCCATAGATGCTATACAGAGCTAGGTGTGACATGTGACAAGAAAAGATTATTCCATCCGGAGGAAATTGGAAACCCTACCTGGAAAGGTGGACTTATGATTATGCTTTTATTGCCAATGATAGATGACGCCACTCGTTCCGTAGAATTTGATTTTCTACAGGGTTCCGGTGTTGTACAGGAAGGAGTATTGATGGCGGGAACTGGATCCGGTTTCCTTGATCTTGTAGACAACAACTCTTCTTTCTTCTCTGATACTGTAATAAAAAAATGGGCTTGGCGATAATTTATTTTAAATCATTTATTTTCAAAAGCTGTTTTCAAAGTGACCCCACCCTCGTTGTCTAAAGAAATCATTTGTTTGCATTTGGGTTTTAATTACAATTAAAATACCAAAAAGTTCCCAAAAAAATTATTTAGTGTCTGTTAGGGTAAAAAAATAGCCTCTAATCATTAGTTTCTTTGCTTGGGAAGTGAGAATGATTTCAATTTGTTCAGAGTAATTCGAATTTTTGATTGATTTGTCCAAGTAAGACTATCAATTTTAGTCAAAAAAAGAAAGCATAAAATTAGGATTTCATTTTTTTATTTGCCTGGTTCAGGTTTCTTAAAGCTGACGTCTACAACACAAGGGCTAGTTGGCTCATCGCCCCCTTAAAAAAGAAAATTTTAAGAATTTGGCTTTAAATTAAAATAATAAATATCTCAATAATCTAATAACTAAATAATATTGACAATAATATCATAGGTAATAATACTACTACTACTAGTATTATTACTAAAATTAAAATAATAAATATCTCAATAATATTGACAATAATATCATAGGTAATAATACTACTACTACTAGTAATCATAATAAATACATTATAAGTAATAATAATATTAATTCTACTTTACTACTACTTATAACATTAATGATAACATTACTTTCACTTGAGAAGCTTCTTTTTCCTCTCTTGCTGCTCTCTCTTCTTGCACTTATACGTCTTTTCTTTCCACTGGAACTTCTGCTGCTTTTCTTGGAACTGCTTCCAGCTGGGGATTTGTTCAGGTCAACCTGGTTCCTGTGCACCTATATTGAAAATGAATTACATGTAATCTTTAAAAAAATCTATTTCTTTTCATTTTCATAAATAAATAATTGAAAGGATGAAAGGATGAAAGGTTGAAAGCTTTAAAGGAAGAAAAGAAGAAAGCATGAAAGGATGAAAGCTTTAAAGGAAGAAAAGAAGAAAGGAAGAAAGGATGAAAGCTTTAAAGGAAGAAAAGAAGAAAGAATGAAAGAATGAAAGCTTTAAAGGAAGAAAAGAAGATAGGATGAAAGGATGAAAGCTTTAAAGGAAAAAAAGAAGATAGGATGAAAGGATGAAAGCTTTAAAGGAAGAAAAGAAGAAAGGATAACAGCTTTAAAAGAAGAAAGGATGAAAGGATGAAAGCTTTAAAGGAAGAAAAAAAGAAAGGATGAAAGAATGAAAGCTTTAAAGGAAAAAAAGAAGAAAAAAGAAAGGATGAAAGGATGACTAAATGAATAAATGAATGACTTTCCTTTTCGAGTTTTCATAAATGAATAATACGGTGAACAATAAATTTAAGGGAACTGACGTTATAATTTCAAGTAACCCTTTATTTAAAGAAGACCATGTCTGATTCACAACGGTACCCTTCAAACCTTTATCTAAACAATACCACGGAATAAATCGCCGTTTCTGAAAAGTGTTAAATTCGAACTATTGCCACCATTGTTTATGTAGCAGAAATCCAAAAGTCACATTTAGAGAGAAACAAAATCATAAATTAACAGTTTTCAAAATAAAAAAAACATGGATATCTCATTCTTATTGATCTCAATAAGCTTTTAATGGCGACGTTGTGAATCGGCCATATCTTTAATACTGAGCTAGCTTGAAATAAAGTCTACAGCCCCTTCAATGTAATATTTTTTTATAGAATATATATAATTATGAATCCACCTGGTCTGGTATCCAGGCACCAGCTTGAATCCCTAAATCCCTCCTCAAGGAACTTCTGGCTTCGTCGACCATAATCCGAGCAGCCTCAACCTCCGTCATCGGAGGCCTCCCAGAGATAAAAACTGTTCTGATCTTCCTAAAAATAGATTTTTTAGTGGTGTATAATATATATTTATATCCCCTCTACTTATACTGTACATTGCTTTTTAATTGATATGACAAAACACTTTTTTTTCAAAAAAATTATAACATTTTAAATCAATTATTTAATCAAGATAACATTTTGTTTTTGTTTGAGTGTAGATCTTGGAAGATTTGGATATGAAACATTCATATATCTTTCAAAACAATCTAGAGATAATTCTATATAGCTTCTAAAAGGTTGCGCACTAAGAAGAATATAATCCTGTGTATAATCACCTTGAATTCTCCTTATCTATGGAACTCCTAAAAGGTTGCGCACTATAAAGAATACCCCTGTATAATCACCTTGAATTCTCCTTATCTATTGAACTTCTAAAAGGTTGCGCACTATAAAGAATACCCCTGTATAATCACCTTGAATTCTCATTATCTTTATAACTCCTAATAGGTTTCGCACTATAAATAATACCCCTGTATAATCACCTTGAATTCTCCTTATCTATAGAACTTCTAAAAGGTTCCGCACTATAAATAATACCCCTGTATAATCACCTTGAATTCTCCTTATCTATAGAACTCCTAAAAGGTTGCGCACTATGAAGAATACCCCTGTATAATCACCTTGAATTCGCCTTATCTTTGGAACTCCTAAAAGGTTGTGCACTATAAAGAATACCCCTGTATAATCACCTTGAATTCTCCTTATCTATAGAACTTCTAAAAGGTTGCGTACTATAAAGAATACCCCTGTATAATCACCTTGAATTTTCCTTATCTATAGAACTTCTAAAAGGTTGTGCACTATGAAGAATGTTCTCAACCTCCTCAGGATCTGCTGCAGCTAACAAAGCTACTGTCTCTAAACCTAGATTAATGGATATTCAAAATTACCACTTACTAAAAAATATTGATTTTTTAATCATTAAAATATACATGTTTAACCATTATAAATCAGCTTAAAGCTAGATGTGAATATTTATATTCTAATTTGTTAAAGGGAGTGTTCGCGAAAATGAAAGGGGGTATAGGCTTAATGTGATAAAAAAGCGCTTTTGATCGCTACTAATTTTACTTTCATCTGTTGCGTCTATAAAGAGAAAATTGTTAAAAACGACTAATACCGAAGAAAGTAGTGTCCATACAAATTCAGAAAGATGTAACATACGACTTTGGTCATCGACTATCTTTCGCCACATTTGTATATAGTTGATTTTTCATAATATGTTTTAATTGTTATGATCTGAGAGTTACATTTATTCCTGTTTCGAGGATTTTTGGTAATGAAGACGACATTTTCATATTTTCCAAGAATGTTCGAAAACAAGTTGCAAACTAAATATTATTTTAAAAAATAAAATCAAAACATATTATGAAAAGTCAACTATATAAAAATGTAGCGAAAGGTAATCGATGACTATAGGTTGTAATATCTGAATAATTTGTTTGAAATTAAATAGACTTTTTTACGGTCTAAGTCGTATGTTGAATCTTTCTGAATATGTATGGACACTACTTTCTTCGGTATTAGTCGTTTTTATAACTCTAGTTCTAGCTTCTTCTTACCTCTGTCATAGAGAACTCTAGCTCTAGCCCCTTCTTACTTCTGTCATAGAGAAGTCTAGCTCTAGCTCCTTCTTACCTCTGTCATAGAGAACTCTAGCTCCTCCTTACCTTCGTCTTAGAGAACTCTAGCTCTAGCTCCTTAATACCTCCGTCTTAGAGAACTCTAGCTCCTTATTATCTCCGTCATAGAGAACTCTAGCTCTAGCTCTTTCTTACCTCCGTCATAGAGCACTCTAGCTCCTTCTTACCTCTGTCATAGAGAACTCTAGCTCCTTTTTACCTCCGTCATAGAGAACTCTAGCTCTAGCTCCGTCAACGCTGGTCAGCCTACAGAGATCAATGAGCTCCCTTCTCACACCAAACTCTAATCTATCCTGAAACTGTCCTAGCAGGAGTTCAAGACTGTTCCAGCCCAACCTACCAAATTATCATTCTCATTCTAGTTATTATTATTTATGATATAAATTATGAATGTCTGTGGGTAGAAGGGTTAAAAATAGAAAATAGTAAATAAAGGGAATAATGATAATCTTTAAACCAAGCAATTCTTTTCTTTTATAATAATAATAATTTTGTATTAATCATATGAAAATATATTTAAAAAGCTAAGGTTGAAAATGTTATTGTGTGAAATAAAATTGGATCAGAGGAAGTGTAGAAAACTGAGGAAATGAAAAGTTTAGTCGGAAAGGATGTGTTACAGGAAGAAATTTGAAAGGAAAGCAAGTTCTTTTCCATCAAAATATAGTACACTAGCTTGGGAACCCAGCTTTGACTGGAAGTTTCTCTCAACCCGCTGAACTTGGAATTTTTAAACCAAACTAAGAACATTCCCGTGGCTCAACCGCGTTTCCCAATTAAAATTTGAGGCAAATCAGTCAAGGGATTCACGAGTTATGACCGGAAAAACAAACAGAAAGAGACAGAGAGACAAAAAGATATTTATCTATTGAATGTACCTGGCACAAAACACTGTCACCATTCCGGCAAAGGTAGAAGCTGCTTGTAGTTTTGCGCTATTATTGCGCATATTGCAAATGGAAATCCAATACCTTTGTTGCCCCGTACTTTGCTGCCACCTCCGACAATGGAACTTCATGCGCTAGATCATGAAGAGCAAGAGCTGTATAGAATCTCTGATGGATGGCTAGAGCATCTCGTTGACTGGGTTCTCCGCTTCGTATTGTACCACGCATTGCACGGACAATCCACCTGGATACAGTGGGATACAACATATTAAGGAATAGGAATAAATGAATACAGCTTGTGCACTGTGCAGTGTACACGGATACACTTCACTTAACGGGACTGTAAGCGTATTTTAAATTGATCCTACATGCAAAGATGGCAATATCGAATTTACGCGAGTAAAAACTTTTTCATTTGTGGTTTCTCTGCGAAAGTGACTTACGCATTACTTGCTTATAAAAAGCAATGGAGAAATTATCAGAATTAAACATCTTTCGAGTCAGAAAGTCAGACGGCATCTTTGGTGTTTTTGACCATATTAATGTTTAAAGGGTACCGTTGTAAATCGGGGATCCTTCTCTTCAATAGAAGGTCACTTGAAATTACGCTTACAGTCCCTTTAAATTTTACCTTTCTTCGACTCCAACTATTAATCCTACCCTTTTCATATCCTCTGGTAACTCCTCCCACATGCTAAAGACAAACAAAATGGCGGCTAAAACAAAATGGCTGATTTGAACAAAATAGTGGACTTAAACAATGGCTAACTTAAACAAAATGGCAGACTTAAAAATTAACTAAAAAATTGACGGAATTTAACAAACTGGCTGACAAAGATACCCTGATAGAAATTGGACAATCCAATTTTAAATTAAATAGGCATCGCACATCTTTTCCTTAAAAACGCCATCCAATCCAGTCTTGGCCAGGAAACAGCAGCGTATATTGGAACAATAAGATAAAGAATATGAAGTTCATTCTCCAGAACAAACTGTCTTCGCGCCTACAAAAGTGTTTATAAGTTTAAACAGTTCTTTTCAAATAAATTACAGACTTGGGAAAATATAAAAAGGCCACAAGTTCTATAAATTTTCCTGTTCACCAATGATAGCCGTTGAATCATTCAAATAATTTTGATCGTCAAGGAAGAAGTGAAACTACAGAGAAATTTATTTTTGTTAAAGGGACTGTAGGCGAAATTTCAAGTGACCCTCCATTTCTTTAAGTAGCGTGTCCGATTCCAAACAGTACCCTTTAACCCTGGACTGATCAATGTTGTCGTATCCTTGTTAATCTACTGAAACCCTTGTCATTGTCATAGAGAACTCTAGCTCTAGCTCCTTCTTACTTCTGTCATAGATAACTCTAGTTCTAGCTTCTTCTTAGCTCTGTCATAGAGAACTCTAGCTCTAGCCCCTTAATACCTTCAAAATAAAAAAAACATGGATATCTCATTCTTATTTTATAAATAATAATATTTTATTTTCTAAAAGTCGCAGAAAATTGTTTACTTTTTACCATCACTATTTAGCGATAAGTTAAAAGTTAAATGGGTATCGTTGTAAATCGGCCATCGGGCATTGCAATCTTAGGATTGAGGGTGACTTGAAATTTCACTGACAGTCCCTTAAACTACAAGTAAATGCTTATTCAATAATAAAAAGATGTAATCTACGAAACAACAGAATTTTTTATTTTTAATTTTCTATCTATAGTTAGCTCAGCAAAATTACCTTAGTTAGCTCAGCAAAATTACCTTAGTTAGCTCAGCAAAATTACCTTAGTTAGCTCAGCAAAATTACCTTAATTAGCTCAGTAAAATTACCTTAGTTAGCTCAGCAAAAACTGTAAGACCTTCATCTGGTGCTAGTGAGCTGGCTAGGCAGGCCAGTCCAAGTCGGGAAGCAACATATCTAGGAAAATATCAATTTTCGGACATCATGTTTGATTTAATTGAAACCTATAAATCATTCACGGTCACACTGAACTAAGCTAGTGGGATAGGTTAAATAGATCTATGATAGGCCAGGTACTGTAAAAAGTCTGTCAGCGCCATCAAAGTTAAAACCGAGCCTGCATAGGATAGGGTAGGGCCGGTACTTGCTGCACGTCACAGAGGCCGGCACAAGGGTCAGTCCGGTTTGAATTCAAATTGACTCTAGTCCACTGTGTGGTGTTAATAATGTTGATAAATGCACGTGGTTTTCTATGTTAACTGATACATCCAATAGAATTACAAGAATTTTAGAAAATCCTCTTTGATTTCGTGCCAATTTTGTAGAACTGATGTTTGCAAAGTTTTTTTAGTTTAAGAGTTGTTTCTCCATGGATATAAAAACTGCTCCAACGTTAAACACTTTTAATTCTAAATATGTAAAGAAAAAAATTAAATCTGTTCTAGTTTCTATTGCTGGGACAAAAAGAGCCAAAAAAAGACTACATAAAAAGAAAACAGAAAGGCCAAATTAAAAATAAATGTCAAAAAATAAAAACAAATAAAAAAATAATAAAATAAAATTCGACCAAATAAAGTGAAAAAAATGTCCATTATTTTTAATCTTGATGCACTAGATATTCGTAAATATTAAATATAATGTTTTGCATATTAATGTGATAAACACACCCTTATAAATATCATGACAACAATCTGAAATTTTCTTATATACTCCGCCAGGAGTCCTGAAAATAATCAAAACATAAACATAAACATACCCGAAAACGTAAAAATAATAAGGAATTTGTGTTAGTAATAACCCTAGATGGCTCAAGGATTGGATTATGTATGGTCAGTGTCCGAATTTAATGAATTTGAGCCGCGTCTTAAATCCGCCAAAAACCGGTTTCAATTAAGCATCGGCTAAAATCTTGATACATTGAATACAATTTTAAGTGAAACCAATTATATTTAAGCCGCGGCTTAAATTTAAGCCGCCGCTCAAATTCTTTAAATTCGGCCTCAGGATTATCATTTAAAGGGACTGTAGACATATTTTCAAGAGACGCATGCCCGATTCACAACGGTATCTTCACAAACTCTATCTGAACAATAATGGCATAGATATCGTTCGTATTTTTGTCAGAGACGCAATGATTTCTGTCACAGAAACTCTGTCGCAGAAATTCTGTGTTTTTCATTCTATACCTCTGTTGCATAAAATCCGCATCTGACTTTTGAAGAGGAACCACTAATAGAAGTTATCAATTTCTAGATAGAAAACAGATGATATTTTTTGGTCAGACAAAGGTTAAAATGATACAGTTGTGAATATGGCAAGCTCCTCTAAAATGGAGAGTAACTTGAAATACATCTACAGTCCTTTAAAGGGAGTGTTCTCAAGTCCGAATCATTCAAATGTAGTTACTACAGGGTGTTTTACATCATATGAGACCGAGAACGGGTCTAAATTACGATTTTCGGGACTAATTAGAATATTTCATTAGAATGAATCATTTTGAAAAATAACACAAGGCTTATATAAGGATTTTCTTGCGGAATATGATAAGTTTTTCGAGTATTAAGGGTTTATTTCGGTGTTAAAGGTTGGAGATAATCTAATATGATATGGGACGCTCTGTAGTTAAATTTATCATAATATTTTCAATTTTCATACAATACAAGTGTAACGTTTGAGAATTCGACATTCCTACAATTTTAACGATTTTAAATAACGAAGGCGATATTTTCATAATTCAAAAAATTGATTAAAAATTAACCTCAAGTAAAAAACAGTTTATTATTAAATACAAGGGGGGGGGAGGGGTTGATGTTGATTACCTGTCTGCCTGCTCCCCTCCCTGAAATCTGATGAACTCGTTCTTCTCAAGGAACTCAACACAACTCCTGATACTCTTCTCCTCCTCCTCCTCCTTACCCTGACCAACCTTCAGCTGGGCAGAGAGCAGGGTACACGAGGCATACCTGGTTAATTAGTTACCTAATGTACATGATGAAGTTATTTATAATTATGGTACAAAATCTATGTTCTATGTTCATAAGGGAGTATACTTGATAAATTCGGGAAAATAAAACATTTTGGTACATGATACATGTGTCATGTACATTGTACATACATTTGGGGACAATAGTTATGTTAATTTGGTTACACACATAGAATATACAATATACATTATACACAATAAATTTGGTTACACACATAGAATATACAATATACATTATACACAATAAATTTGGTACAATTTGTAATGTATAATATGTATATTGGTGTGAATGGCACAACAGTTAAGTATACATTACTTTTCAACTTCTGGTTTAGTAGTAGCAGCTCCACTGACTACGACCTCTAGAATAGCTCTCTTCATGCTAGCGGCCAGCTTAGCTCCAGCTCCAGCTAGGCAGGATAAAACTGGTTCTGATTCACCGCCAACCAGTTCTCTAACCTTCTCGCAGAGGTAAATAATGACAAAAATTATCAAGCCACCTTCCCCCCCAAAACCAAATAAATTAAACTGAAACTTGTTAGCGTTGATCTCGAAAAATAATTACTTTCCCCATAAATTCGTAAAAACTTGTGTATGAAAACTTTAAGAATCTTATCGCAATCCATTCAGAGCTGAGAGAACTTTAGAAATGAATACCCTTAATCCAGATTGCTTAATCTGAGTTTCAAATGTGGATATTATTAATTTCCTGCATGGTCCGCTTTTCTCTCTCTTTTCATATATCCTTTCCAGATTCCAACCAATGAGAGTTCTCTCATTTGATAGCGCGCAAATATTCCGGCTTCTGATTGGTAGTTCGGTATTCTGAATACATCACTCTATTGGTTGAATTTTATACACTTTTCTGGATGCAAACTAGAGATCGAATTAAGCTTGAGATTAATAAACAAAGGAGATCAAGCATTGATCTCAATATCCAAAATTCTAAAGCTTTAGCTCAGAACTAGAAAACCATTAATTATAAATAGCCTTACAATTCGCCAAAACCGCTGAAATTGTAAAATGATATTTTATGAAATTATTTCCACCCGCCTTTTCCCGCTCTGATTCTTTACAAATAAGAATACTTTCTCCAGCAGTGTCCACACCCTTTCTTCCAGCTCTGATCAAAATCAAAAATTTTTAACAATTCATCTTTTAAAGTTTTTCATAAAATATTTACAAAATCCAAAATATTCTGAGCAGAGCTGGGAACTTTAGAATGGATATCTTTAATCCTGATAGCTTGATCTGAATTTCCATTGTGGAAGCTTTTAATTTTATTTTTAATCGACTCCCGTTGGATATCACATTTCCTAAACTACATGTAATAAAATTACGATGCTATATCGATTGGACTAATATCCGACTGAACTAAAGTCAACAGTTGACAAGCTGACTTTTAGAGCATTTAAACAAATATAAATTTAATCTGTTAATATGAACTTCCTAAAAAACATATTTTATGGTCCTTTTGAATGTTCATCTTAAAAAACATTAATCTAAAACTTACGTTCGTTCAATCGATCATTAGTCCAATTGATATGACACCACAAATGCGGGAAAAATAAAAACCGGTTTTTTCAAAATTTAAAGAGCGCATCTCTAATCTCTAGAAATAAATCTAAAGACTAAATTGGTATGGAGATTTGAAAAAAGAGATGATCAAGCTTTGATCTCGATATCCACCATTCTAAAGTTTTAAGCTTTGGTCAAATTTGGAGTAATTTTAATATGTTGACCACCATTTGACAAATTATTATTTCCTAACTGATTAATCTTTAATTAGATAAAATAAAATATAAAAATAGCATAAGTTCATATCCTGCAAAACATAATAAAAATAAAGGAAAATATTTTGATTGGTTCCTTTCCTGCCAACCATCTGTTTATAGGCCAGCTTGTCCATTAATTGTCCATTGTAGGTTAAAGGACATCTTAGAATAACTCTCCTAGAACAAACAGATTAATTGTCAAAAAATTACATTGATAAGTATCTGTATATATAAAGTTGTTATCATATAGGTTGAATTTACTTTTACTGAAGGGGCAGAGGTGCGTGATATGGGTGACGTGATAGTTTGTGTGTTTTCTATCACTCTTTCATGAAAAATCAGATCTTTAACATTATTATCAAAAATATCTTAATATGTGCTCAAGCATTGTTTACTCACACCAAATCAAATATGATAAAATCATGAGTGTTAGGGAAAGGTCCATTCTACTGCCTGGAGTTTCAAGTCCCGCCTGAGAGATGGTTTTTCAGCCCGGATTTGTAAATTTCACGTAAGATTGAAATATTATATGTTTTCAATCAGAACTCCTTTTATCGAAAAGCTATTGAAAAGAACAAAAATGTTTAAAATTTCTACCATGTAACTTGATAAATTGACTTTTATCATACTTGTGCGTTAAATCAAATCTAGAGGAGCTACGAGGTCACAAAGTCGTAGCAGTAATGTTACATGAATTTTATATTTTCCTTCTGTCTAGTTTGCAGTGTAATAAATAAGTCGACCAAAAATTGAAGAATATATTGATAACATTTTTCAATTAAATTATAATGAAATTAAAAAAGTCGAAATCCGATTTTTTTCGGATTTATTAGTAAAACTCACATAGTCATTTTCAAGTGACCATTTAATAGAATGGCGTTCCCGATTTTCAATGGTACTCTTCTTACACCTTTGATTTATGGTATTGAGTTGAAATAATTTAAAAAGATAATTATGAACTCTGCCTCGTTTTTACTCCAATAAATCTTGCAATTATAAACGTCTTTCTTTCTTTGCTTATACATTAAATAATTCATGAAATTTAAAGACCATTTTAAGACAGAAGACTTAATTTAAACTTGGGATCGTCATATTATAAGAGTATTAAGTCGTCGATTCAGTCTCATGCTTTGTGGGTCCCCTGTAGATAGATCTGATAGGGAACCCACAGACCACCTTCTTCCGATCTACTCAAAAATAATTCCTCTTTTTTTTACGAAATTTCTAATCCTTGAAGGAATTGAGTCGTTGCCACAAACTCAAATTTTCTAGTCGCTATATTTTGCAACCTGAGGATATAAACCTTTGACATTTAAAACTTAGAATTTTTGATTAACGGAGGTAACAGTTAAAATATCCAAGGTCTACGACATTGTGTTGCAAAGATGTAGAGATTAGAAAATCGGTGTTTGTGGCAGAGATTCAAATCCTTTAACTATTTAACTAGTAAAAAAGCTGACATGATACGTCCTAGTTTTCAAGTTTCTCAATACCCGAATACCAAATAAAAAGAAATACTTTCATTTTATCAACTTTTTAAAACTTAAAAGACACTTAAATCATTGCTAAGGATCCGTTTAATTTTGACCCGGATCCGGGATTCGCACTGGAAAAAAATTTAATTACCGATTTTTTTAACGAAGCAAAATTGTCAAATTATTTTTCTTCTTCTTTCGCTTAAACTTGATGAACCATTCATCGATCAGGAAATTATCTTTTTTTCAACAGTTCAGTCTTGAGATTTGAGAGAAAAAAAGTTTTTTTTGCCAGTTTTTGGGTTGATATTTTACCCCTAGGATCCGGATCTGTGGATCCGCATATTTTTGCGGATCCGGATCCTAAGCACTGATAAAATATTACATTAAAAAAATATAAAAAATATTTTCTACCTGATAATTCCAGACTTAAAGTTTGCTTCAAGAACATCTCTTTCATCTGTAGTTAGGCCTGCATGATGAAATCCAACTCCAAACCTTTACAAAATTATCATATACTAGCTTGGGAACCCAGCGTTGCCCAGGGTACTCATAGTAACTTCCACCATTTACCCGCGCTTGGTCGTATATTACGAGTTTAGCCATTTTTCCCTATAAAAGTGGACCCAGTTAGAATCTCAAAATCAAATTAAGATCATTCCCGTTATTATGTAAAGTTCCCCAAACAAAATTTGAGGCAAATCGGTCCAGGATCAATGATTTATAATCGGATAAACAGACAAACAGACAGACACCCAAACAGAGATTAGAACTTTATCTAGTTCTAAACAGTAAACCAGTAAACCTGCTTTAACAGTGAGATAAGTTGTTTATAAAAACATTGAAGGCAAATCTTTTACCCGGATTTTAAAACTTTACAAAGAAAGACTTGGAATTAAGAGAGAGGAGAAAGCTTAAAACTGATTTTCGTAGTTGTTCTTTTTATCTTCATGGTTTAATACAACAATATCTACATTTTTGGGTTTTTCTTTCTACATCATTTCCCAAACATTTACATTTTAGAAGGTTCAAGCGACCCCCCTATTTACAGAGTGGGATGTACAATTCACAACGATACCCTTGCAATCTTTATCTGAGCTGAGTCACAACAAGGAAATATCGTCGTTCTTTTATCTTAAAAATTTGAATTCTCACTATTTCCTTCATTGTCTCTAAAGTATAAAGTATAAGTCACATATAATAAAAAACCACAATGGAAAGCAATCGATTTTCAGCTTTAAAAATGATGATATCTCTTTCCTCCCTAATCAAACTAAAGTTTACAAACTTCCGTTGTGAATCAGACATGCTGCTAGATAAATGGAGATTACGTTTGCAGATCCTTAACAGATAAAACTGACCTAAGGGTTGCAGCCAGGGTGTTGTCTAAACCAGATGGACATCTTCTTAATTGTTCGAGAACCTCAACTAATCTAGATCCATCCAGTTCATTCTGTAGCTTCAACCTGGAGAATAATAACATCAATAATAATGATACTTTGAATAATCTAGACCCATCCAGTTCATTCTGTAACTTTTACCCTCCATGCAAAGATGACAACTGTACTCTTACAACCTTAATATGTTCAAAAATGTGGAAGATACCGTCGTTTTTCTGACTTGAAAAGTTTTTACTTCTTAAAAAACAAAAAATGCGCAAATCACATTTGCAGAGAAACCGCAAATGAAATAAACCAGTTTGAAGAAACAAAAACATTGATATCTAATTCATACTTATTCAGACAAAGCTTTCAAGGGTAACGTTGTAAATCGGACACTGCCATCTTTGCATTACAGAACTGGAAACTTTAGAATGGTGGATATCGAGATTAATGCTAAATCCACTCTATTTGCTAATCTCGAGATTAAATATTTAGATCAACAAATTTGATTCTAGGAACGCCAGATTTGATCGTTTCTTGACTGGAAGGGCCTTAACCTAATTTCTCACCCATGTATTTATTAATACATTAGTTAAAATTGGTATAAAAAAATCTCAAACGTAATTAAATATTTTTCTTCACCGATTAATTTACAAAATGGCCGACAACAAATTCTTTATTTAATTGAAATTGCGGTTTTCTCTCATGGGATAGAATTTATTTTCAAGACTTGTCATTGGTCAATACAATTTACGAACTATATTCCTGCACTCTCATTGGAGAAAACAATGTAGAGATATCCAAAGAGAGAGAAAAAGAGTGGATTAAGGACTAAAATGAAAAGTTTCCACAGTGGATATTCAGATTAATTAGTTGGGATTAAAGGTTATCCATTCTAAAGTTCCCAGCTCAGGTCATTTAAAATTAGGCGTACAGTCCCTTTAATCTAATGGATTTGCTTTATCAAATGTTGCGGATTGGGCTTGACCGGCCAAAGGAAAAATACATACTAGCTGCAATACTGATCGACTCCAAAAATTAGCGGCTTGAGTTTAAACAAGTAAATCCTTTGGTCTCAAACAAATCGTCAAGAGAGATTCAACATTTTTTATTCAAATTGTCACCAATTTTGGTGATTTGCACTATGAGTAATGAGTATGCAGGCCATAGGGTGACAGGGGTAGATATTTCTTATTCCCAAACTTAATTTAAAAAGGAGCCTTTTCGGTGAATTTTGTGGTAAAATACTTCAAAGAGAAAAAGACTCGCCTTTGAGGTCAATATCAAATTTTTAATGTTTTGTACGCATTATCGTTACCTGGTGTTACAACTGGTTTCATCGGTATCTTCAGGGGCAGGTTTACCAACCAAATAAAAATCCTAAATTAAAGGGAATAATTTCTAAAATTTTTTAACACTCCCTTTAAGTATTTNTTTATCAATAAAATAAAGACATTTCTATTTAAATTCAAATTACAAGTGTGCAAGTAGACAGTGAAAAGCTGTTCATGTGTATCATGGTTTTTGAAAGCAAGATGAAAATAAATTTAAAAAGTCGTCTTTATTGTATTGATATATACGACGATAGTAAACAAAAATTACCTGTATCGTTTGGAATTTGAACAACAGGTTGAATAGATCCTACAGGAACTAGATCTTTGTTTAATAAAGTGCTTCCTAAAAATATGCACTTTATTTGTTGTATAGACGACGCCAATTTTGGGCCACCATTTATTATCTGGAGCACAAGAAAATGCATTTCTTTGAGGAACTGTCGTTGCAACCCTCCCCTGAAACCCTAATCTGATTAGTAATGTTTAAGATAAAGTCAAAAATATAGAATATTTCTAATTCATACTCAGACAAAACTATACAGGGCATTGTCATTAATCCTGCAATGGAAGGTCATTGAAAAATGACTTTAACAAGCCCATTAACTCTTAAAATATTACAGTTTTTTCTTTTAGGTGCTTTGGAATCCGTTTCATTTTGAATCGGATTCTGATCCAGGCTATGAATATTTCTTAATGGTTTGGCTAATTTCATTTATAAAAAAATATTTTAACTTTTTAAAAAATCATTTTAAAATTACGAAGAAGTTGCAGTTTACTTCCTGAAAGAGTGCAATATAAAATAGAAATTCAATTTTAAAAAAATCTTAAGAAAACTCATTGAAAGCTTGATATCTGTACTATCACCTATTTTAACAAGTTCTGTAAGAGGAACCGGTCTAAATGTTGATGTATAGAGGCCGGCCTCCAGCCAGTGGGAGAGGTCGGAGAGGTTGGGTAGGGTCGCGGACATTCCGATAATTTGAACAGAGTTTTCAGAGCCAGGTGAACTCGACATAAACCGAATCTAGATTTTAAAATTTTTATTATTTAGACAAAATAACTCAATAGACGCAAATAATGCCCAATCCGAGTATTAGGACGATGAACATGTTATGCGGAAATACGAGTGTGGCTTTGTCACCTTGCGACTCCTCTGCGATTAATCCAACCCGAGAGTGGAGAAAGCAAACAAATACAAAAACTTACTTTTATCTAATCAAAAAACTTTCTAAAAAAAGGCTGTACTTTAAAAAGGCCCCATAATTTAGTATCATGTACAATATATTCTAAGAAAATCATGAACCCCCCCCCCTCCTCCTGCTCTTCTTAAAACATAATATTTCCCTTCCAGGATATTGAGAACGGAGTATAAAATAAAAAAATAAAGAATATTTGAGAAAGTATTAAAAAGAGAAGGAGGGGGACTTAACAGCTTCATGTCCAATTTTTCATCCCCCCCCACCTCATCCTAGAAAATCATGTAGCATACCACTTAACCTTGATTAGAAGGAGTTCTTGTAAATGTAGGTATCCTCCTAAAGGGTTTCATCAACTAACCTTGGTAAGAAAGAGTTCTTGTAGATATCCTCTTTAAGGTTCTCTAGTTACTAGTCTACTAGTTTACTGATCTTCTAATCTATTAATCTACTAATCTACTGATCTTCTGGTCTACTGATCATCTGATCTACTGAACTACTGATATTCTGATCTACTGAACTATTGATATTCTGATCTACTGGTCTACTAATATACTAGTCTACTACTCTACTGATATACTGGTCCACTGATCTACAAGTTTACTGGCCCATTGACCTATTAATCTACGGAAAACTGGTCTACTGATCAACTACTGACCTACTGGTCTACAAAAAAACTGGTTGACTGTTCTACTAATCTACTGGTCTACTAATCTACTTGTCTTCTAATCTACTGGTCTACTAATCTACTAGTCTACTAATCTACTAATCTACTGGGCTACTAATCTACTGGTCTACTAATCTACTAATCTACTGGTCTACTAATCTACTAATCTACTGGTCTACTAATCTAGTGGTTTACTAATCTAGTGGTTTACTAATCTAGTGGTCTTCTAATCTACTGGTCTACTAATCTACTAGTCTACTAATCTACTAATCTACTTGTCTTCTAATCTACTAGTCTACTAATCTACTGGTCTACTAATCTACTGGTCTACTAATCTACTAATCTACTGGTCTACTAATCTACTCATCTACTGGTCTACTAATCTAGTGGTTTACTAATCTAGTGGTTTACTAATCTAGTGGTCTTCTAATCTTCTGATCTACTTATCTAGTTAACTACTGGATAACTGGTCTACTACAATCAACTGATCTACTGGTTTTCTGATCTACCAATAAATCGTCTACCTGTTAATGATACCATTTGCTTTTTCTATAGTAGCTACAGCGATATCAGCTACCTAATTAGATAAAACAAAATTAACTTCACTATCATTAAGAAGCCTGGGAACCCAGCGTTACCGTTTACCCGCGCATGGTCGCAAATTACGATTTTAGCTATTTTTTCCTATAACAGTAGACCCACTCAATTTATAATCTTAAAACTTTGCTAAAAACAATCCTGTGGTTCTACCAAGTTCCCCAGTTAAAATGTGAGGCAAATCGGTCCGTTGGTTCATGAGTTATGATCGAACATACAAACAACAAATAAACAGAGATTACAACTTTATATTAATAGAAAATATCAATATTTGTTTTAAAACAGAAATAAAATGCTGAACATATTTCTATGAACTTTTTTCTAACGCTTTTTTTCTCTTTTGGGAAAGGACTTATCGAGCATCTGTATTCTGCACATCGGTGTTTTGTATCCGCTCCAATGTTTATTTAATATTAACGACATTATTAAAATATTTCCGCTTCTCCCGAATTCTTTTAAAACCACAACAAGTTTATAGGATTGAAAAATAGGTAATTGCTTTCTGAAATTATGAATTAAGTATGCTGAGGTCGTTCCTTCCATAAACTACATTGGTCAACAACTAGACGTCTCCTTTATTGGTCGTCAAGCGTAAGGTGAATTTATCTATCTATCAGATAAGAATTTAGCAAGAGACATCTAGCAGTCAACATATCGTCCCCCAAAGTACGTGAACTAAACGACCACTCTCTATGGAGAGAATGGGCTCAGAAGTAAAAACTAAAACAAACAGGAAAACATTTTATCAATCAATCATTAATAAATAAATACCTTTATTCCTCCAGCCGGTGATATTGAACCCATAAACCCCTCAACGCGAACACCTTATATTTATAATTTTAAAGGAACTGTTACTCCGACACGAACACTTTAAATTTTATAATTTTAAAGGGACTTTTACCCGACACTAACACTTTAAATTTTATAATTTCAAAGGAACTGTTAACAAAATTTCAAGTGAACAATGAACATTGAACATACATTTAACAAGTGTCACGCATAATTTCTAGAGATAGATTTCAATATTCTTGAGAAGGAAGAACTTAAGATATAGCTGAAGATCTCGAGAAAGCCTTGGATCCCACTGTGTGACCCTTGCGAGTACGTGTCCGTGAATTTATCCATTATAGGAAGCGGTATTCTGATAGAAATGGAACCACAAGTGTATCAGATTCTGATAAAAATGGAACCAAGAGTGTAGAGAAGAATAGTGCTACTGGTGGCGCAACAGCAGTACAATGATGGATACAGCTAGTACTTTGTGCTTAACTAGCTATAATAGTGGGAGTATGGGAATTGATAAACAGAACTTTATAAGTTTGCTATCTTGGTTCTCAGACATTTTATGCATTCATGATAAATATGTTATGTAGTTAATAAAAATCAATGTTTTCTATTTGTGCATAATTTTGCATATTTTTTCTCTTTTCTTTTGGAAACCTGTATTTTCAAAAAAAAAATTATTTAAACAAATTTAAACTACACCATTTATATATGTATTTATATCTTTGTGTGTGAATAAATCTTTATAATAATATTAGTTACTAGCTGAAGGGCCCGGCGTTGCCCGTGGAAAAAAATGAGATGTTTTTTTACCATATATCAGATGTCGTTGAATTTTCAACATTTGACTATGTATAAATAAAGAGATACGGAAAATTAAGTAAAATTTTTGCTAATAATAATAATTACCAGTTTCTCCAAGAATACTCTGCAGATGAAACATCTTCTCCCGAGCTAAGGATACAAAGGGTAGAATAAGGATTGCTTTCTTTCCAGTTTCCACAACCCTCTAGCAATAATAGTTGAACTATAGGTGGTTTTCAGTTTTCAAATTAATTATGAATCTTAAAAGGGGAAACCATGATTAAATCATGTGTTGATAACTGATTCTACTTTCCTGTGATAAAAATCAAACTTCTAGAAAATTTCCTTCACACATTGTGATATTTTTTAAAATTATCTTTTTAAAATCAATTCACAAAAGTAGAAAACTAGTCAAGAAGGTTTTTAGTTTATTTATTGGAGTAATAAATAACAATAATTAAATTTATTTGTTTAAATAATGAAGACCCATTATCCCCAAAGAATTCCATTGAAGCATATTAAATGAGAAAAGAGGGAAAACCATTTCAAAAACAACACCATACTCTTCGAGATACATGTATAGTTTACAAAATGATTTTGGTTGAGCAAAGATAATCATAATTTGGGAATTATTAAAATTATTTAAAATAAAATTAAACTTTTCAATGAAATAAATTTATCTAAGATTGTGAAAATAAGAAAATAAAAAACCTTGATCATAAGAATTTCCGCCACTAGTGTTTTTCCAGCAGAGGTCGGAGCAGAGTAGACTAGATTTCTACCCTCTAGTACACCATCTACCAGTAGACACTCAACCTAATATATAGTAGTTAGTAGACTAGATTTCTACCCTTTAGTACACCATCTACCAATAGACATTCAACCTAATATATAGTAGTTAGTAGACTAGATGTCTACCCTCTAGTACACCATCTACCAGTAGACATTCAACCTAATATATAGTAGTTAGTAGACTAGATTTCTACCATCTACCATCTACCTGTGGACATTCAACCTAATATATAGCAGTTAGTAGACCAGATTTCTACCCTTTAGTACACAATCTACTAGTAGACATTCAACCTAATATATAGTAGTTACTGGACTACATTTCTACCCTCTAGTACACCATCTACCAGTAAACATTCAACCTAATATATAGTAGTTAGTAGACTAGATTTCTACCATCTATCATCTACCATCTACCAGTAGACAATATATAGTAGTTAGTAGACTAGATTTCTACCCTCTAGTACACCATCTACCAGTAGGAATTCAACCTGATTCATATTTTTAGAAGACTTGACTTTAAAACTTCAAAAAATGAAAAACATGCAAATTATATCAGTTCCTGGCAATAAAGGAACATAAAAATTATTTTAAAAACTGAGAACTAATTTAAAGATTGATGAACACTTTATCCAATTAAACCAAAAAAAATATCTTCAAATAAATATTTTTAAAGCTTGTTCCAAAACAGGAAGCAAATTTTCAATGACGGGAAAATGAATTTAAAAAAAATGGATTTTTTTACCTGCCAGTCAAACATTGTCGAGATACCCTTTTCTTTATACTTCTCTAGAATTGATTGAGGTAGCCCCCAGTTTGCCAGTTCTTTAGCAGTATCAGATACATTCAGACAGTTTGCCAGTTCTTTAGCAGTATCAGATACATTCAGACTGTTAGCCAGTTCTTTAGCAGTATCAGATACATTCAGACAGTTTGCCAGTTCTTTAGCCGTATTCGATACATCAAGGCAGTTAGACGTTTCACTGTTTGAACTAACTTCTTTTTCAGTCTTTTCTTTTTCATTTTTAGATGGACTTGATTTAATCTTTTCTGGCGAAACCCTGGTCCTTTTAGAATTGGCACACGGTTTGATTTCGTCTGTTTTGATTTCAATGGTGCCTTTGAATTTTTGAAGAATGTTCTGATCCCTCTTAAGAGTTTTGTCAGAAACGATATTTTGAATATGATCATTTTCCTTTTTATCAAGACAAACTTCATGCTTGATATTTTTACTTTTAACTTTCAAACATTTGGTTGAGTTTTTCTTCATCTCATTTGTCTGTAACAATTGTTAATTTAAAGATGTAAATTCGAGTGACCCTTCATTTATCTAGAGTGTCATGTCCGATTTACAATGACACCCCGTTTAGAGCTTTGTTTGATCAAGAACATCAGGAATGAATGAGATATCCATGATTTCTCTCATAATTTTATTTATGGTTTTTCTGAAAACGTATCTTGTGGATTTCTTCCTACAGAAAAAGATGCCGAGCATAGTGAGAATTGATCACTTAAGAAAAGAAAATTCCACAGTAATACATAAGACATAAGATACAATTAGGGTGATTCGCAAATATTCTCCCAAATATTATTGAGATAAAGTTTAAAGGGTAGCATTGTGAACCAGACATAACCCTCTTTACATGGAGGATCTTTTAAAACAAAAAATATATTATATGGAACTTTGAGAATAAAAAAATCATGAATCATTAATTGAATAATTGTTTCCTTGTGGTTTAAATGTTTGATTTGAGAATGCTTGTTCTCTGATTTCTGTTCTTCCGACAGCTTTTTAGAAGAGTTTTGATCCAGTAACGTTTTGGCAGATATAAACCCCGGAGAGAGTTTTTTCTAAAAATGGTTAGGAAAATATATTTTTTTTGACATTCCAAGACTGAGAAATCTATAAGAATATTTCTCTTAAAAGCATATTAGAGAAACCTAATTTAAAATCTCCAACCGTGGCATTTTTAAAAGCGGTTTTAGGATTAAGTAAAATTGAGAAAAATAATTGTAAAAAATAGAACATTTTGCGATATAAAAAAAAATTCTACGTCTAAATCGACACTTAAGCAATCTTAAGTGGGTTTGATGTTGATATGAAGCAAATGGTCTTCTGAAACTTATTAAGTGAAATGGGTCTGTGTATAGTGTACACTGGACAATTGCTGTGTTTTAAGTTCATTGGACTATTTTAAATCATAACTATGAGTCTAACTGTCGTCTTCCAATTCCACAGAAGACGAGAAAATCCTGAAAATCCAGAACTGCATATTAGCCTTTTAGAGAAGGGGGGGGGGGGTACAAATACTGCAACACAGTTAGATAAAGTGAATAGGTGGAGAGAGTGGGCAGAAAATAAAATATTAAGAAAAATGATTTTCTGCATTAAATACATGTATCTATCAATTACTAGTTGCTTAAAATTTGTAAAAAATATAAACTAAACAATACCAAATTTGTTGTTAAAAAATACCTGAACATCACTTGTTGAATTGAGTGTGAATTCTTCCATCATCATTAACGTGTTGTTACCCGGTAACTTGAAATTATAAAATATCTAAATCTGATCAATTTTGGAAAAATTAAGTGCACTTAAGAATTCTGACACTATGAATTAGACAGAAGGTACAAATTTAAGACCTCATTGCTTCTGTAGATTTAATTATGTGCTTAAGTTTAATAAAAGCTTATATTTATAAAGTTTAGTAAATTGTGTTCTTCTCAATAGCCCTTCAAGAAGTGTTGAGTTACACTGTGAACTAAACAGAACATGTGAACATTGCTGCTACAACTTTGTGACCTCTTAGCTTCTCTAGTTTTAATTATATGCATAACTATGAGAAAAGCTTATATATACAAAGTTTAAAACAATTTTATTCTTCTCTATAACCCTTCAAGAAGTGGAGTATTACAGTGTGAACTAAACAACAGGAGAAGGTCAAATGTATGCGACATTACTGGTGCAACACAGTGACCTCGTAGCTCCTCTAGTTTTGATTATATGTAACAAATATGAAGAAAGGCAAATACGAAATTCAAACATTTTATTTCTTTTAAATGGCTCTTCACAAAGAATAGTTATTCTTAAAAAATATGATTTCAACCTTACATGCAATTTACTTTAAGGGACAGACCGGCTCAAATGAATCCTAAAGAATTTGTCCACCACACTGCATACTCAGTTTAACTACCTTGCATAGCTGGTCCGTCCCTTTAAGTTTGGCGTGATAGCAGCCAGGCTTTTATGTTAAGAAAAAAGAGATTGTGTGTTCTATCTTCCCGTTTAGTTGTAGGAGTATATATATTTTTGATACCGAGGAGAAAAGAAAATTAACTGGTGATCTTTAATCTCCGGTGATCTTTAAAAAGGAAGATATTTACTTAAAAATAACGAAATAGGGTGTAATTTTGTTCTATTATGTTGCGTTTTATTCCTTCAAAAACGGTGTACACTGACCTGTTCAATATCAAGGTTGAATGAGTCTTGAAATAAATCCTGATCATCAGGTCCAAGGATGTCTTTGGGCGCATCAACATGATTTGAAGTATCTTTCGCCATCCTTTATCTAAGCCAAGAATGAGTTTAAGTTGGTGTATAAAATTCAAGATTGGATTATATTGCTAGGGGGCCGGGCGTAGCGCCCACATAGTCAACTTGGATTCAGACTTCTATCCGGTCATAGCTTGGGCATAAATTGTGGGGAAAGGGGGGATTTATCCAGAATGGTGAGTCTAGTAGACCTGACGTTGTGCGGTCATTAGGAAGGGTGACACAGATTATTTGTGAAGAACTGACAAGACAGGTTTCAATAGACCCAGCGTATAATTCAATATATGGATCAACTGGATAAATCGGTTGCCACAATGACGAAATTATTTTCTGCCAAGAAAAAATCCAAATATTTATAATGCGCGCCACTGTAAAAATGCCGCGGTAACAAAAAGATAAAAGGAAAAAAAGACAACGTCTTCGTTTTATAAATAAATCAATCAAAATAATTCAAATGTCGTCTTATTTACATCGTCTTTCTTCACAAAGTGTACAGTAAGTGTACACTAAACGAAAAATTGAAATCGGCGGACAACAATCGAGCATAGTTCTATTTTAATGTTTTAAGTTGTAGAAGTGTATTAACAAGTTATATAGTTTCAGATTTATAGACCAGCCAATTGAGATTTAATGTAAGATGCCCGACTTGTCAGTGTTTACACTCAATGTTTGGGGAATAGGTAAATAGTAAGAATGTACTTTTAACCCCATGCTCTGGATGTACTTTGTCACCTCCGGAGGTTATAAAACATCCTCTTGTCAGGTGTTTTTGCAACCTTTTCATGGCGACATTTTCGTAAGTCTGAACTCTATGCAGGACCTACTGAAAAGAATTCGGCGTGCCGGCGGCGCGAACATTTAATTGATTGATTGATTTTAATTGTAAGATATGTTTTAGGTTGTGGGATTTCTGCTGACCGGGAGCCGAGAATTAAAGCAATTTCTCATTTTCTCGCATCAAACTCTTATGATATAGTTTTACTACAGGTAGTATCTAATACAGGGTTTCCTGGGGGTGGGGCGGGGGTCCAAAATCATTCTTTAGGAGATTACCGCCGAATTTTATACTTTCTTATTTCATTTCCAAATCCTTTATCGTTCCTTTAAAGTCTGTTTATAATCAAGAAGGCCGAATATAACCTTTAAATCATCATATCTAAGGAATTCTAAGATATCAATACAGTCTCTAACTCCGTGGCAAGTCGGGGGTTGAAATAGGGAACAAATGATTATTTTTTAAGTTATTATTTCAGGAGCTTTGGGTTCCTTCAGACTACACATCACTTCGGTCTTTTACCAAGGAAAACCGAGTTTTTTTGTCTAATAAATTGCAATAGAAGCTATATCTAAACCAATATATGATAATTAAAACTATTTAGTATCAAACCTTTTTCATCAAAGTTCTATTCAATTCATAGAATATTGCTTGACGTTTTTTGTTGGCTTTATAAATTCAATCATTTTCATTGATAAAAAAAGCAACGATTTGTTAAAAAAACTGCTTCAAGAAAATCTGAAACAATTTTGTTTTTTAATTTTCCTCCTTTTGTTAATAATGCACACCAAAAATATTGAAATTGTTATTAAAACGTCGATCTAAGGATGTTTTACCGTATCAACATTTCTTCGACAATGGGATAATCGGTAGCGGGACTTGTGTTCTCTCTAAGCACCCGATACTGGTAACATATATATTTGTTCATTGATTTGGCATTGATATCTTTCAAGAGACAGTAGACTTCATATATCCTTTAAAACATTATTTATGAAACTATTGTGTACTTTATCATTCTTACTCACTTCATCGTGAATTTCAAGTGAACACCTTCAAATGTTAGATGGTCTGGGTCATATCCGGATTCAAATCAGTACCTTCGTGAAATCAAAAAAGAAATGCAACAGGAAAAGAATAAAATCGTAAGAAATTAAACACTTGGTCCGGTAGAAAACTATAATTGATTGTTGCTTGATAACTATTTATAACACTTTTGGCACGACGTGCTATAAAGTTTTTGGACTTAAATTTTATCTTTATCTCGAAGGTTCTCGCTTTCTCGATAAAGAGAAAATTTCTGTCCAAAAACTTTATGACACTGCGAACTAAAACAACAGTGTTGTTAGGCAACATCCAGGAAGATATCATAGGAACAAGTGTTTAATTTCTTACGATTTTATTCTTTTCCTGTTGCATTTATTTTTTGATTTCACGAAGGTACTGATTTGAATCCGAAATGATCCTCTAACATTTGAAGGTGTTTACTTCAAATTATGTTTGCGGTCCAGTCAAAACGGTTGAACCATGAAATAAAGAAAACTGTTGTTGTCCAATGTTTTTACTAATTTAATTTATTTGGGATCAGGCTGCTTCAAGTGCTAATTTAATTTAATCGGTGAACAGGGTGCTTCAGGTACTAATTTAATTCAATTGGGACACAGGGTGCTATAGGTACTAATTTAATTCATTTGGGACACAGGGTTCTACAGGTACAGAATTAATTTAATTGGCACATAGGGTGGTTCATGAACTAATTTGATTTATTTTGGACACATGGTGCTTCAGGTACTAAATTAATTTTTTTGGGACACAAGGTGCTTCAGGTACTAAATATACTTATTTGGGAGACAGGGTTGCTTCAGGTACTAAATTATTTTTTTGGGGACACAGGGTTACTTCATGTACTAAATATACTTATTTTGGACACAGGGTTGCTTCAGGAACTTAATTATTTTTTTTTGGAATACAGGGTGCGTCAGGTACTAATAGTAGGGAATACAGAAATTTAGACACTGGGACATCAGAAAAAAAATCAAATTATAACCTGCCTCTTTTAAGGTATTTGAAGTTGCTCAATGAATTAGATTAACCAGCTGCGCTGCTGATCTAACGCTATATCTGTATTAAGGCTCTTGAAGCTGCTCAATGGATTAGATTAACCAGCTGTGCAGCTGATCTTACAATATATGCTGGAGATTTCAACTCTGAACCAACTGACGTGCCCTTCAATATTCTGAGGTTTGTTAAATTTGTCAATATTCTTTTTGATTTTTTGCTTTTCCCCTTTTTTAAAGAAAGTGTTTGCGAAAAATATAAGGGGGATATTGGCGAACAATCCCTTTAAAATTTGGCATTTTTTGTCCTTTAAATTTAAAACGAATGATATTTTTAGCGGTAAAAGCCTAACATTTTAGAATTTCGGATCTTTTAGAGGAGAACTTCTAGTTGTTCCCTGTTTTTCTCCATGGAAATTTTCGTTGTCAATCTCGGG